AAAAAGAGTTTATAAGCAGGAAAGCAATGACTAGTGGAAAGTGGAGTATCAAGAAAGAAACTATACACATACACACACATCATTCTAAACCCACAACCGAGAGATAACCACTTTAAATTTTCTTTGATGTGGAATCATTTTGTTGTATAAGTGAAACTAATGAAATGCTGTATGTCAATTATACTGCAATTAAAAAAACAACATTTCTAAAAAATTATCTCATTTCATTTTACTTGGATTTAGCAGGAAAAAAGGGAAGGGAAACTAGAGGAGTGACTGACCTTTATACACATCTATTCATATTTCCTCAAAACAAGACCTATTAGTTACTAAGGAACTTTTCAAAATGATTATGAAATATGAGGCTTTGGTGTTAATGGGTATTTTTTTTGAAGCTTATGCTTCTTAATGGCCATAAGTTTAAGTTTCCAGATGCTGAGCTTAAATGACTGTCTAATCACCATTCAAAGTCTTCAGGCTCCCTGACTTCAGACTATACTACAAGTCATCAAAGTTAAGCTACAGTCATCAAAACAGTATGGCACTGGCACAAAAACAGAAATATAAATCAATGTAACAGCATAGAACATCCAAAAACAAACCCACACACCTACGGTCACCTAATATATGACAAAGGAGGCACAAATATACAGTGAAGACAGTTTCTTCAATAAGTGGTGCTGGGAAAACTGGACAGCTACATATAAAGGAATGAAATCAGAACATTCTCTAACATTATACACAAAAATTAACTCAAAATGGATTACAGACTTAAAAGTAAGACCAGATACTATAAAACTCTTAGAGGAAAACATAGGCAGAACACCCTCTGGCATAAACACAGCATTTTTGATACACCTCCTAGAGTAATGAAAATAAAAACAAAAATAAACAATGTGATTTAATTAAACTTAAAAGCTTTTGCACAACAAAGTAAACCATAAACAAAACAAAAAGACACCCCTCAGAATGGGAGAAAATATTTGCAAATCAAGCAACAGACAAGGTTATACTTTAGTCTCCAAAATATACAAACAGCTCATTCAGTTCAATATCAAAAAATAAACAACTCAATCAAAAAATGGGCACAAGATCTAACCAGACATTTCTCTAAAGAAAGCATACAGATTGCCAAGAGGCCCATGAAAAGATGCTTAACATCACTAATTATTAGAGAAATACAAATCAAAACTACAATGAGGTATGTATCACCTCACACTTCAGAATGGTTATCATCAAAAAATCTATAAACCAAAGATGCTAGAGAGGATGTGGAGAAAAGGGAACCCTCCTGTTGGTCCTCCTAGGTAGCACAGTGGTAAAGAATCCGCCTGCCAATGCAGGAGACACAGGTTCGATCCCTGGGTCAGGAATTTCCCCTGGAGAAGGAAATGACAACCCACTCCAGTGTTCTTGCCTGGAAAAATCCCATGGACAGAGGAGCCTGGCCGGCTACAGTCCCTGGGGTCGCAAAGAGCTGGACACTACTGAGGGGGCATGCCTACGCTGTTGGTGAAAATGTAAATTGGCAACAGTCACTACAGAGAAGAGGATGGAGATGCCTTTAAAAATAAATAAATAAAAATATAGAGTTACCATATGATCCAGCAGTCCCACTCCTGGGTATATATCCAGAGACAACCATAATTCAAGAAGATACATTTATCCCTATGTTCACTGCAGCACTAATTAGAATAGCCAGGACACAGAAGCAACCTAAAAGTCCACTGATGTAGGAATGGATAAAAAAGATGTGGGATAAACACACACACACATACACACACACTGGAATATTACTCAGTCATAAAAAAAAGAATGTAATAATGCCATTTTCCATGCCATGGATGGACCTAGAGATTGCCATACTAAGTGAAGTAAGTCAGACAGACAAAGACAAATGTATCCCTTATATGTGGGAATCTAAAAAAATGGTACAAGTAGATCTATTCACAAAAAAGAAATAGAGTCACAGATATAGAAAACAAAGTTATAGTTACCAATGGGGAATACAGGAAGAAGATAAATTGGGAGATTGGGACTGACATATACCTACTACTATATATAAAATAGATAACTAATAATTACCTACTATATAGTGCAGGGAACTCTATTCAATACTATGTAGTGACCTATATGGGAATAGAATATGAAAAAGAGTGTGTATACATATATGTACACATATAACTAATTCACTTTGATGTATAGCAGAAACTAACATTATAAATCAACCATACACCAATAAAAATTTATTTAAAATAAAAATTAAAAATATAGACAATAAATATGTTTGACATGAGAATAAAAAAAGTAAAATTCAAAGACACCATTACTCTGTTAAAAACTACAAAATTTATTTCCTTTTTTCTTTTGACAGGGAAAGAGAGAAAGAATGAGAACAAAATTTATAGCTAAGTTTATTCTCTAGGTGATTCTTCCAAAATATATTATGGAAAAGCTAATATATAAAGAAAATATGCTATAAAAATGACAAGCCACGTTCAGGAATAAAAAAGCACACTCAACAGAGGCAAATGCATATACCAAGTACCCATCACAAGTCCAAAAAGGCTGTATTTAGTTCAGAGGGCCTGTCACTAGTTCTCATATACCACCAACAGCTCAAAACTGACTTGTTTCATATTCAGACCAAGACTCCCCTGTAGAGTGTTTCCTTGTATTTTCTAGAATATCTAGAGGCCATTCTTTATCTTGTTGGGGGGTGGGGGGGTGAAGACTCATGCCACCATCTCACTGATAGCAGGCTGGGGTGACATGTCTAGATCCTAATCACAAGATCTGCAAGATGTTACCCCCTTTCTTCCTGAAAACGGTTTCCATGGAGCCCTCTGACTTCCTGTTCTAATTTGAACTCACTACTCTAGGCTGCGGAGCAACTGTCTTCATCTGAAGACATACTGTCACTGTCCTAGACTGGCTTCTTGGAGTCCATGTTTTTCTCTTTCCTGGCTTCCTTTTCTGCTTGGCTCTAGCACAGCTCTGAGTAACTCTTCTAGAAAAAGTACAGAGAAGATGATCTTGCTGAGTCCTTATCTGTGTCTGCAGGTATTTTTAGGCTTAGCCTAGCTGGTGTATATTTATGTGTTCAAATCATTTCCTTCAGAACCTGGAACTTGGTGCTTCATCTTTTAACATCCACTGTTGCTATTTGGAGTTTTCTGATCCAGTGTGACTTTAGTCAGGCAATTTAATGTTTTCTTTCTGAAAACTTTAAGAATATTCCTTTTATTCTTACAGGGCAAAAATGTCACCAATATGTACTGAGATGGGCCCTTTTCAATCTGAAGACCAAGTCATTTCTCTCTTTTGACTCTTCTCCATATTCTCTTTCCCTCAAAAGTGAACTGCTTAGATCTTTCCCCAACCATTTTCCCCCTCTCTTTTGACATCATGTCTCTAAGTTTCAGAAGATTTCTTTTTTCAAATTTATTTTCCAAATTTCTAATTCAGTCCTTGGCTGCATCTATTTTTTTCAGACTTCTGTGGAATTTTGATATTAATTTTTTTTTTTTTTGCCACACCATGCAGCCTGTGGGGTCTTAGATGGAACCCATAACCCCTGCAGTGGAAGCACACAGTCTTAACCAGTGGACCTCCAGGGAACTCCCTGAAATTAATTTTGATAACCATATATGTCAAGATTCAATGTCAACAATTCTAGTTTTCTGATTATTCCTTTAAATGGCAACTTGTTTTCAATGTATGGATATAATGTCCTCTTGAATCTCTCCAATCTCTACTGAAACCCTTTCAAAAGTTCTCCTCCCCAGTACTACCTCCTTTTCCTCTAGAGGGAAGTTGTTCTGCTTGTTCACAGTGCAACTCCTCCTTTTCACCAAGAGTTCCTGTTTAATTACCTGGTTATCTTTTTGCTTACATGTTGACGGATGGACAGCCAGTTTTCCCTGGGCTTCCCTTGAGCTGTATTTTGAGTAGTAGCATTTTGTAAGAGGTGAGGACTAGGAATTGGGAAAGTTTGGGTGAGGTATCTCAGGTTGACTGTAGTGTTGTAAGTTTATCCTTCTTCAACTGTGCATCCTGTCAATAACAGATACTATATGGGGCTCTGAGGGTCACTGGAGTAGGACCTCTATTTTAATACTGTTCCTAATACTTGATTGCAGATTTGCAGAAGTAAGCAAATCATAGTCAAGACCAAGAAGTTACCATGACTAGGAAAAGTGTGTCATGCTGGGGATACAAAAGAGAGAGGTAAAACTGGAAGATTTAGAGTGAGTGTAAGAGGACTGACAAACGATTTTTTACAGAGGGGAGAGAGAGGCCAATCTGATGGGAAGGGACTTCCCTGGTGGTCCAGGGGTTAAGACTCTGCACTCCCAATGCAAGGGGCCTAGGTTTAATCCCTGGTCAGGGAACTAGATTCCACGTGCCTCAACTAAGACCCAGTGCAGCCAAATAAATAAATCTTTTTAAAAAATCTGATGGGAAATGGGAATACTTCTTCTCCTGCCACCTACTGCTGTTTTCCCACAGAGAGATTTAAAGACTGATTTCCATTTCTCACTTGCCTCCCCAACAGAAATATCTACTCCTGCCTCTTCACAGAGTCCTGCAGAATTGAGGGCAAAGCCATGAAGCAATCGGGAAGAGGAGGCCGTGCTGTTCAGAGTCCAAGGACCCAGCACAGCCCTGGCTGGCTGCTCAGGCTCCAGCTCAGCTCCCCCATGGGTGACTGCCCTATTGCTCAACACCACCATGATGAGTCCACATCCCTTCCTAGCTGAACTTGCAAGCCGACTTACCATCTCTGCTGCTCAGCCAACTGATTAGGACAGCAACCTTGATGAGCTTCGCATGCTATCAAAACTTTTAAAGCTACCACTTGTAGAAACTTTCAAACATATTCAAAAGTAAGAAGAACAGATAATGAATGTGCCTGTCATGCCTGTCACCTAATATCTTAGTTTGCCTGTGCTCCTATAACAGAAGAACATGGACTGGGTGGCTTATTAACAACAGAAATGTATTTCTCACAGCTACAGGTCAAGATCAAGGTGCAGGAATGGCTGAGTTCAGGTGAAAGTCCTCTTCATGGGGCACAGACATTCTTCTCACTGTAACCACACACAGGCGAAGGGAAGGGACTGGGGAGCTCATGTGGTTTCTTATAAGGGCACTAATGCCATTCAGAAGGACACCACCCTTATCACTTAATCACCTTAATCACACCTTAATCACTTAATCACAAAGGCCCAATATCCTTTAGGGTGTTAAGATTTCAACATATGAATTTGGGTAGACACAAACATTCCACCGCTAGCATTAGGAGGAGGAAACTTACTCCCACCCCTTGAGTTCCTATGGCTGGACTAATAAAATTGCCACGAGACAGATTAAGGGAAAAGAAACCAATTTTAATTATGTGCACAGAGGTCTCATAGAAATGGGGCCTAAGGGGGAAACAGGCAGCTTTTATACTTTTTATATCGTGAGGAATTGACATCACAAAGAAACTTGGGTTTGGAGTGATCAATTAGTGAAGAATTTAAACAGTTTGAGCTGGCATAGTAAATGAAAGAAGTAACAAGGTTTATTTATACAAGCTCTGGGCCCAAATTCCCCATCTCTGGCAATAAGGGTGTCCTTCTACTTCCAAGTGTAGAGAGTACACCTTTCACGTGAGAGATTGATTTCCTGCTTTGGAGGAGACAAAAGGTCAGACTGTCCCTTGCATATTGGCCATTTCTTACATAACTTTAATTCAAAATTATTAGTATGCCATTGAGGTACATCTTGGGGGCCACCTACTGGACCCCAATAATAGCATTCAATTTCAAAACTATATCAACAGTTTGCCAATTTAAGAACCTACTTTGGGGGTGGGGATGGGGGGAAAAAGAACCTACTTTTCAGCAGGATTCATTTTTCAAAATAAGACTCTCCTTTTTCATAAACATGCATCTGAGCTCCACCTCTGGAAATCCTATCATTGAGCCCAAAAAAACACAGTTTTGTAGCACTTCATAAGTAATTCTGATGCCCACAGAAAATTAAAAGCCATTGCTGTAGTGAAATGAGAACAGGAGTATGATTCTACGATATACAGGACATTCAAAATCTTGGATAAATAAGAGAAGACCCAGAAGACATAAAAGGAAAATAGTTACATCACTCCCTATAAAATATGTAAATAGCAGGACAGCAAAAGATCACAAAGACAAAAGGATGAGAGAAATATTTTCAACATAGATAATATCCTTAATTCAAGGACTTCTTATAAATTAGTAATATTTGTTCAAAGTAGCAAATATTTGTAAAATCTCACAGATAAAGGCTCTGAAGAGACAGACTCTTCAGACTGAGAATCTGAAAATGGCCAATAGATCTATGTATAGATTCACTGTCTCTTTATAGATCAGGAAAATGCAAGTAATAAGAAATTGTTTCCAACCATCAAATTAGCCAAAATTGAGAGGATTCCTCATTTCCCGGTGTTGGTAAGGTTTGGGGAAGAGAGCCATTTCTGTTCACTTATAATAAGACTATAAATTGCTGCAAACTGTTTAGATAGTAATCAAGTACTGTGATTTAAAATGTATAATACACATACTCTTGAACCCCAAAATCTTACTTAGAGGCATCCAGCCAGGAGAAATAAAGTACAAGTCTATTAAGACCTGTGTTTCATGGACAGCCTCTGCAACTAGCATTTACTAAGGAACCACTATGTTCTGACAGCTGTGCTAAGTGAATTACAAAGGATGCTTTAACTAATCCACATGACAACTTTATGAGGCAGTTCCCATTATCTCGGGGAAAAAAAAAGAGAGAGACTAATATTTAGAAAATTTAAATATTTCTCCAAAGGTTTTTTTAAAAATGTGCCAGTAAATGTTGGAGTTAGAACCTGGAACTGGTCAACACAACTACAGAGTTCATGCTCTCGGTCACTGCAATGTGTTGCTGAACTAGATACAAATAACCAAAAAAGAAAACAAACACCAATGCCCTGGGTAGAGCAACAGTCTTTACAATAAGCCCAACCCCTAGAAACACAAAATGCCCTACTCTGGTATCACAATTAAAATTCAGTTTGGGGGTAGGAAAGTTGGAATACATTTTCCATAGAGACAGAAAGCAGTTGTAGAGGAAGAAAGACAAGCATGAAAGTCTTCTTAGATGCAAAGAGTTTTCTCTCCCAGGCAACCTCAACTTTTCCTTGTAAATGCCTGGTTCAAGGACTTCCAAACGGGCCCCAGGCAAGGTGCAATTTCCCCACTTCCCCTCTAGAAGTAGCTGTGTTGGCCTGACCCCAGCTGACCCTCCCAAGGCAAAGGGTTGAGGGTGTGAGCAACTTTTTTCATTGGCAGAGGAATGGCGAGTATAAGGATTATCAGGGCACTGGAAACATGGCCTCAATTTTCCTGGAAAATGACCACTTGTTTGTTTTATCTCCTTGGAATTTGGAGAGAATGTCATGAATACTCTGTCCTCATCAAGTCCCTGGCTGACCCTACCCTGAAACCTTAACCCCTGGTGGAAAGGAGAGAAGCGTCTTATCCATAGCAAGGTCATTGCCCCCAAGTTCTGGATTTCAGAGCAGATTCTCCTAAACCTCCCAGGTTTTATGTCCAGATTGTGGGAAAAGATTCCACAGATAAACCACATGCCAGAGCTGTAGCTCTGGGTCCAGAGTACCCAGAAGCATATATTAGAAAACATTCTCACTTAACTATGCTTTTAAAATAGTGATCAGTATAAACAGGTTGCAAGGACCAATGTCGTATGTTATAAAACAGGATTATGATTGATCCAATTCTGTACACTTCAAACCAGTAACAAACAATATAAAATAAGCAAGTAGTAAGTATTAGCCTGATGATCTAATTAAGAGACTGTGACAACCACAGTCCTGGAGTTGTTTTTTGCTTATCGTCAACTGTTATTAATAGCTACTTAACCTAAACATGTTCTCTCTTCAGACTCAGGGGAGTAAACACACTTCTAACTTGTCCAAACCCCTGCCTTACAGTAAAAAACTCGTAAGCATATTTACTGCTCAAGCCCCAATGATGCAGTATTTTCAGATAGACTCTCCCCACATCAAAGTCCTTGTAAAAGCTCCTATTGAGTTCTTCCTTTTCTTGTAGGAAAAGGTGGCTTGTTACCAGCTTGTCCAAGAAGGTATGATGCTGCTCCCATGTGCTCACAAGCCCTGAGCACCACAAATGATCACATATCTTCCCGAGCTTTGACCAAAACGCAAGGAGAAAAGACTGGCCTGCAGCATCAGCTAGGTGGGAATTGCCCAGACTTTGAACAGAATACTACTTGGGTTCAGATCCCGGCTCTGCCTCTTAACAGCTATGTGAACCTGGACAAGATACTTCACTTCCCTGTGCCTCGGTCATGCCATCTGTGAAATAGGTTTCTCCTTCACAGCTTTAAGGAACAAATGAGAAGTTACATGTAAAACGTATAGCACTATGACTACACTGAGGAAACACTCGATAAACATTCATTTTCGTTATTTTTCTCTCAACCCTTTCTTCACCTAGAAAATCAGAAGTTATTATATTTCTCCACTTCTTAGGGTTGTCAGGAGAATTAAATGAGATAACACATGGACTTTTCAATGCCTAGCACAGTAGTCAATAAATGTTAGTGGATTATTTTAAACTTTATACTTTTTTTTCAATTTCCACTTTAAGAATTTAAAAATCAGAACACTACTGCTTTCCCTACTAAGATTCACAGGTAACAGTTTTCTAGTTAGTCCTTTTTTTCTTTACATTCCTTCTATTTTTTTTTTGGAGCAAACCCTGACACAGGAATCAGATTATAATGGTATTGGCATGACTCCATGAAGTGCTAGCCAAGTGATCTCAAGAAATATCAGAATCTTGGGTTTCTTAAGTAAAACCAGATAAAAATGTCTCTCTTTTAAAGTAGAAAGATCTCCATAGGGTAATAAATAAAACATGCTTTGTTAACAATTAAACAATGCAGCAATGTAAGACCTCATTCAGGATGAATGAGGACTTACTAGAATAAATATAAATAGAGCATAATATAGATCTATAAAGCAGCTTCTCCATTGACTAGAGCAGATTTTTATTTCTGAATAAGTTTTTATCTGCTTTAAATGGTTAAGAATCTCTCAGGAGGAGGTGAATAGAAGGACAGAATTCCACCACAACCATAAGTTAATGAGGAAATGAGGCCACAAGAATAGGAAATAGATATGCTTTTTTCACATGGATCAAGAAGCTTAACTTTACTTCTAAGTGCCAGGCCAAGTCTTTAGGCATTTTGTGGATATGTTTGCTTCGAGTTAATTTTTATTCTACGTCTCAATGGTCTCTAATGTAGACAATGAGCTAAATATTGTCTGACGATCTCTCAGTCTCTCTTCCTCTCTTTTACTCCCACGCTCTAAAAATAAATCCACAAACATCAACAGAATGTGGTAGGTAAGCGTTCACACTTCTACTAGAAAATGAATATTAATTAAGTCAAGAAAAAAAATCCTTATTTCCAATCCTCAAAACGGTAGTGGTAGGTATCTTTCTTTTTTCCCTCTATTTTTCTTTAAAGCAAATACATTTTTTCTATTTGAATTTATGAACTGATGTATGCCTAAGAAAATTAAAAGATTTGAGATGCAAGAAAATGAATCTTTGTTACCTTTTCCCTTTTACCTTTATGCAGGCAGTAGCACTGGTAACCCAAATAGCTAGCCATTAAGATCTCTGAGTTAATCCACCCCAAAATATCCTATTAGTTCCATACCAAATGCATTTTGTTCTGATGAGGAAGATGCTCAGAGCAGTCAAAATGTTGATAAAACCCATGAAAAAGGAAGAAGAGGAAATTCTTTCATCTCACAATGAGCGTATCAATGTACAAAGAAACTGAAGCCTACAGCCCCCGTCACATGCCAACCTGCAGTTCAGTGTGAGATCAGAGAACTTCCTCCTGGTGTCTGCATCTATTCCTAATTGCCCTATTTAAAAGGAAAAAAAAAGTGAGAGAAATATAAATTGGGGTGTATGTGTGTGTGTAAACAGACCTTTTTTCACTGTGTATTTACTGATTGTCTACTCTAAGCAGAGCACTGCCAGGAACACAAGGCTGAGACATGGTCTGCTCTGTTGCAAAGGTTTCCTTCCAGAAAAGTGGATTAGACAGAACAATGGGGCCTTATACCCACCCCCCTCCCTACCCCACCCCCTCCCCAGCCTGCCTACTCCCACACACACACCCCCACGGCTGCTTCAACCAGCAGACCATAATCTGAAGCAGGTTGTGAATCCCCTCCTTCACAATCTTCCATAAGGGTTACAGAGTCCTCCCTCTTCATTCATCCTGGGCTCTTCACAGCTGGAATCCAATCATTGCAGCATGCCCAGCCCACACAGAGCTCTCTAGCATCCCCCAAATAAACCACATGACTGTGCCCAGCCCTAGCTCCAGATCTCTTCTTTGCTGCTAGAACTGCTGCTGCTTTTCGCTTCCTACCTGCACCCTGCACTTCATCCCCCACCCTACCCCACTCCCACCCAGGAAGTTTTCCCTATTCCCACCTGCCTCCCTCTGCAGCCCCTCGAATCTCCTGCCCACCAGCCCTGGAGATGGAGATGTGTCATTTTCCATCATTCTCCCCAGCTCCACCATGAGCCTGAGGAGGCAAGATCCATGTCTTTATCCTCTCTGCCCTCAGAGCCAAGGGCAGAAAAACTTAGGAAATTTGTGGTCTTGAATTAAATAGAATACTATAAAGCAGTCCATGCTGACTGTCTTCAGACGGACCCTTAGAGAGTCGTGAAAGTCCAATGGAAAAAGAGAGGAAAAGGAAGTTATAGGAAGGATTCTTTCCAGTAACCTTAAAAAAAACCTGCAGTGCCAAGAAATCAATAGATTCTCAAATCTCAGAAATGCACAAGGATAAAGGGCACACACTCCTGCAAGTGCCAACAGAAACCTTTAGTTAAATAAACAGTGATGTAATATTAGTAAAAATCAAAATAAACCTTTTTAAAAACAAATAGTGCATGAGCCACAGCTTTAAGCTTATAAACTGACTTTTAAAGGGGCATAGGACAGAGGTTAAGAATCATCAGGAATATCTCTACTATGAAGCAACAATGCACTGGTGAAACACAAGACCTTTGAACTCACAACTTTAGTTCAAATCTTGGTTCTGCCATTTGGTAGCTGTTTACAGTGGCTATCATCAAAAAGACAAGAGATAAATGCTGGAAACTCTTGGGCACTGTTGGTGGGAATGTAAACTGGTGCAGCCATTATGGAAAACAATGGAGAGTTTCCTCAAAAATAGTTAAACACAGAAGTGCCATATGATGCAGCAATTCCACTTCTGGGACTATTTCCAAAGGACATGAAAACACTAACTCAAAAGATATCTGCACCACCATGTTCACAGCAGCAATATTTAAAAGTCAAGGCATGGAAACATCTACTGACATATGAATGGATCAAGAAAGCCTGATATATATACACACATAATGGAACATTATTCAGCCATTAAAAATGGCTCAGACTCATAGAAAAAGACAGAGTCTGTCATCACCAGACCCTGGAGTCAGGGGAAGGGAGAATTGGAAGAAGGTGGTAAATTACAAGTTTCCAGTTTACAAGGTAGATAAGTGCCTGGTGGGCAGGGGCAGGGATATGCAGCATGATGACTATAGTTAACACTCTGCATGACATACAGCAAAGGTGTTGAGAGTAAATCCTAAGAGCTCTCATCACAAGGAAAAAAAAATGGGTTTTTTTTTTTGCTTTCTCTTTTTGCTATATCAGATGATGGATGCCATCCAAACTTACTGAGTTAATCATTTCACAATATACTAAGTCAAACCATTATGCTGTATACCTTAAACTTCCACAGTGATATATGCCAATTATATCTCAACAAAACTGGGGAGGAGGTGAGGAGATGGGTAAAGAAGATCCAGAATGTAAAAGGTTGCAACTTTGAATAGAGTAGCCATGGTAGACCTACCTGAGGAGGTGATGTTTAAGCAAAGTGGGTGAGGGAGGGAGCTCTTCAGATACCTGAGGGAAGAGTGGTCCAGGCAAGAAAAATAACCAGTGCAAAGGTCCTGGGGCAGAGTCATCCTTAATGTGTTCCAGCTTCACAGGGGTGTCAAGAGTGGCTGGAGCAGGGGAAACAATGAAAGCTGTAGAAGAGAAGGTCAGGGGGAGTAAGCCACTATAAAGACTTTGGTTCTGATTTGAAAGACAGAGATCCACGGTGTGGTTTTGAATATGGAGTCACTCTGACTGCATCAGTCTAGAGGTGAAAAGGAGGGACCAATTGTAAAGACAGAAGCAGGAAGAGCCACCAGAATGCTATTGTATAAAGTCAATGAGTGATTATGGCAACCAGAACAGGGCTGCAGCAGCGGAGGTGGAAAGTGCAACAATCCTGGCTACACAGCTGACCTTTGAACAACATGTGTTTGAACTGCTTGGGTCCATTATATGCAATGGTAAACACTACAGTGCTACAGGATTCACGGTTGGTTGGATCCCAGGATATGGAACCACAGATACAGAGAGCTGACTATAAAGTTATAATGTAGATTTTTGACTGCACAGAGGGCCTGCACCCCTAACCTCCACATTGTTTAAGGGTCAACTATATGTTGAAGCTGAGCTAGTTGGATGGATATAAAAAGTGAGAGAGGGGAGGCAGGAAGCATCTGGTGTGAGCAAACTGAAAGGATGGAGTTGCCATTCACTGTGGCAGGGAAGGCTCTTAGGAGGACCAGGTAGGTGATCGGGCATTTGGCTGTGGACATGTTGAGTCTGAGAAGCCCTGGACACATCCCAGAAAAGATGTGAAGGACACAGTTGAAAGTCAGAGGCAGCTGGTGTCTGAAACTGGAAGAGAAGATATGGGTCAACCAAGATGATGTGTTAGAAATTACAGTCTGCTTAACTATGGCCTTGAGAGTTTTTTCCCCACCATAATTAGTCTTAAACCTGTGGTTCTCAAATTCTAGAGTTCACAAAAATCACCAGAAATACTTATAAAATACTGATTCTTGTGCCCCATCCCCAGAGAGTCTAATTCAATTGATTCTGGGATCCAAGGACAAGGGTGGGGAGGGAGAGCAAGGAATGTACATTGCTGAGCTCAAGGGATTCAGAAGGAGTTGACTCACAGACCAACCTCTGAAAAATCTCAGGGTCTCTTCCCTTCTTCCCAAATCAGATATTCCAACCAACTGACAATATTTACTTAATTTCTCCAATGACTCATAAAAATATGCTCTCTTTCAAAATATTAAGGAGGTGGGGGACAGTGGTGCTGGAAAAAGAGTGAATGCACTTGTTTAAAGCACATTTCACTTGCTGCTTCATTATAGGCAGTCTGAATGTTGGTTTGGT